TGTACATTTGTAGACTATTTAAGAAAATAAACAAATAGGATAGTATAACAAAAAAGACAAGAGTATAAAAGGGAGATAAATGTATTTAGGCATTTTACTGGCCTGCCTTTGGAGTTCTGTCAAGAAACGTCCTCAGCTGCAGCCACTAAGAGCACCACCTGTGCACATTCACTATGTTCTCTTTTAAAAGGGCCCTGCCCACCTCCCATCCGCTTTCTTTTTCGCTCTCTCTGTTCCTTTCTCTCTCTTTGCCTCTCTCCCTACCCCCTCTTTCCTCCCTGGAAGTTGGTCCCCGCCCCTCCCTTTCCCCCCTTTTATGACCCTTTTCACTTAATAAAAAAATAAAAATAGAAAAACCCTCTGCTTGAACTCCGCTACATGGCGTCTTCCTCTCTCGAACCACCCTTGTTTGTTTGTTTGTTTTGTTTTTAATTACAACACTCACTGTATGAACAGGAGTCAAATTTGGAAATGGAGAGAGGGATCTTGGCTCACTTCACAACTCCTGCAGAACACCTGTCTCCAGAATCCATGCATGAGGAGCCTAACTTGGAGTGTGTTGGATTGGAAATTTCTTTGAGACTTTCAAGGGACTTTTAGAGAATTACTAGAGATAGTCCGATTGGAATGTTTTGACCAGGAAACAAAGAGTGCGTAGGTTTCAAGACTCCCAAGTTATCATGAGAGAAGCAGAAGTCATGGAATGAATTGGGTAAAAAGGAAGGACTGGAGCTTTCCAGTCACCACTGGAAGAAAGGGGGTTAATTTACTTCTCTTTAATTCTGACCTGGCTTTTATGACTTGCTTCACTAAAAGAATTGTGGTTTCAAAGTGTGATGGGTCCCAGCTTGTCTGAACATTTCAGAAGGTTCTTCAGAAGGTAGTGGCACTGTTTGGGAAAATTGTACTACTTTTAAGAAGTGGGTCTTCCTTGAAAGGAAGTGTTGTTTCCGGAGGCAGGTCTTACGGTTTGTAATCCAGTCACATTTCCTGCTCATTCTCAGATTCATGAGATGCTTCCTCCTTCTCCTGTCGCCATACTTACCTGGCCACAATGGAGTACGAAACAAACACTTCCTTGCTCACATTCCTTCTTGTCCGGGTGGTTGCTGCTGCTGCTGTAGCAATAACTAAGTAGTTCAGAAAACACAGCAGAAATATTTATTTTTATTGTTACATTAATAAGAAGCCTTACAATGTTTGCCTGAGTCTCCTGGAACATACATACAATGTGAAGGAACTCTCCTGGAACATGTATTTGTTCTTAGAAATTATTACTCTTTATCTTTCAAATTTCTTATTAGTATATTAATAAAAATTTAATACCTGTTAGTCATTTCTTTATTATTTTCTGCTTAATCTATATTGATGTGTATCAACTGGTATATAGTTAAGATTTGTCTTATTTTCTGGTTTGAAAATGATAACTTTTAAAGGATTTATGACTGTAATAACTATAGTGGTCAATTTTTATAATCTTATTACAAAAATAAATCACTAACCAATTAAAATGCCTATATTTACAATCCTTTGAGTAAATAAGTTTGATATTCTCTGTGGGCAAAATGAAGACATTCAATGCTAATATTTTCAGAAGTATTTTATTATTCAAGCAGGACTTTTCTGGCGTTACAAATAGCTACACGTTAATATTATTCCCAGAAATACCACCACCATATGGCAGAGAAATAAGTTACTTCTTTAATTTGGCAACCCCAGGGGATAACTGCAGGAAATACCACTCACAGATTAAATGATAGCAAGAAAGCTATTCTAAAGAGGAATGAATGGGTAGTAGACAGCCACCCATTTCATCCGACTTGAGTATAGCAAGTAGCTTCCACATAGCGGTTACTCCCCTCTACGATGTCCTAGACTCAATTTTCATACATAACACAATGACCTTGCATTCTAGATATGAGAAATGGGAAGCTTCCTAGGCTCTTCCCTTGGAAACTCTTCCCTAAGAGTTTAAGGAATAATGCTGTCTGTTACTGCTAGAAATTTGTCTGTATGTTAGTCCCTCAGTTGAGTTGAAGTGGTCTAATACAAACTCAGAGGCTCCCCAACTAGCTAATCATTTCCTAAGATTTGTCCTTTACCTAGCCTGTTGCTTCCTCAGAGTAGAGAAAACTTCTCTGGGTCTGAATCATTAGGAAACCAATTTCCGAAGGCCTTTTTTTCAAGAAGAAACCAAAGACATAAGATAATGTGCTATGGTGGGTTATTGGCTAAGTAGACCCTAGCCTTCCCCGTGACAGTGTTAGAAACAGACTTCATTGAACAACATGGCATTGAGAGTTTGGTCCCTAATTACCATTCGAATTAAATATAGATAATAGGGGACATTCAAAATACTTGGAATACTTTATAAAGTAATACTTATGTTAATTAAAGAAATTAAATACTTTAAAGTAATACTCTCTATTACCCATTGAACGTTCTAAATGCACTTGCACAGTTACAAAAATAGTTAGATTTCATAGGCAGAATCACTGTTACTACATTTGAATGAGAAGTTTCATTACATTTCTACAGCATTTTGTTTTAGCTTATAGGGAATCACAAAACTTTACCCTCTTTGTTTTTTAAAATATTTCACATCTTAATTATTAAATATTTATTAATAATAATCTTAATATTTAATATTTGTGAGGTTATAATAAAATTATAACATCTTTCTCCTTCCCTTTCCTCCTTCTAAACCCTTCTATATACTCCCCTTCTTGCTCATTTTGAAATACATGGACTCTTTAAAAATACACACACACACACACACACACACACACATACACACACACACACACACACACACATATATATATATATATATATATATTCCTAAATACATAAACCCAACCTTATCAGTCTTTATGTTACTAGATGTATATGCTCATCACAATGACCACTTGGGCTGGATAACTAAATGGTCTACCTTTCCCTGGAGAGAGTATTTCTTTCTCAGCAATCAATTTAATGGAGCAAATATAGTTATATTAATTACATTTAAAATCTGACTTTAAAGAAAACCAGCACTTGGGTATGTCCTTCCTTATTTTGTTAACAACAATGGATTTCCACATTCTCTGTAGAAATAGCAAGTGAAAAAATGTGCCTAGTACAAACAAGTTAATGAGTCAAATTTATGTTAAACCGCATAAGACTCTTTATCTTGTTTCTTGGTATTTCTTCACCTAAAATCCTTATGAACCCCGGTCAGGGGAAAGAAAGATTTTTCTGTGTAGAAATTCCCATGCATATTATTATATCGTCATGTTAATATACTGACAATGGCCACAGTTGGTTTCTTTCCTTTAAGCCTCGTGACTGGACACAAGCAGAAGAAAATCAGAGATATGGCAAAGCCTTCTGGAGAACAGGAGAATACTCTATCTTCTGTAGAGTCTACATGCATTGGATAGAAATTCAGTCTCGAACTTAGAGCAATTTCTCACTGATAGTCAGATTAGAGATTGGGTTGGGTGACATACACTGTAATCCCAGCTCTCGAGAGAAAAGGCAGAGGAATCTCAGCAAGCTCACAGCTAGCCTGTGAGTGAGACCAGCAAGGACTATACAGCAAAACCTGTCTCAAAACAATTAGAGGACAAAGGCATTATCTATATGTGTCCTCTGTTATTAGCTATTTTCCAGGGTTCATGGGTGTGTCCTTTTTATTTCTCTCAGTGGAATACTTATAAAAACAAATGTCCCAGTGACTGTCTCAATTTAATTTTCTGTCTAATCATTTGCTTTTCATCTCAGTTCTTCCCAGAAGAGTATTAAGGGAGAATAAAAGATACCTGTGCATTTCACAAACACATATGCAAACACTCATGTAGTTAAAAAAAAAAAAAACCCTAAAATAATACTATAGAAATGAAGGAGAACACCATATATTTCACTTGTTACATAGTTGTGAAGATTTTCATACTGGCTTTCTAATAATATGAAAAAAATTATCCTTTATGCATTTTATTGATAATAATAGTACGTTTATCAAGTTATAGGAAAAGTTAACAAAACCTAGCTCATGACTGGCAAACTGTTGTGGACAGTAAAATGACATAATATTGTTCAGTCTTTTTGCTTAAATAAATATTATCTTGAAAAAATTTACTATACTTTCCCATGTACAACTAGACATTGTATGGACTAACAGTAGAAAGGGGCTTCACTTAGCATTCATTCTTGAAATATGTTTGTTTAAAATAGAAATACAATATTTTCATAGGTGACACAACAAGATCGAAAAGAAATCCATAAATTCATATTTATCTACCAGGTCAACTGTGTGATCATCTTTAATCTGATCTTAAAGGCTTCATGTTCATGATTTGCTAATTCCATTAAGGCTGTTACTTTTAAAAGCCAAGAAACAAAATATTTCAGTAAACAATTTTATTTATAGTGGAACTCAAAAAGTTTTTATATTTTGAAATTATCCACAATGTACTATTTATTGCTTACATTGAAAAGAATTTCTTACAAGAAAAGATAAACATATATACCACTGGCAGCATTGTTATATTTTCATTTGATACAATATGAACAAAAGATTAAAGAGAAAAGCAAAGTTAAATATATTTTGAATTCCCTGTTATGGATTCCAAGGTATTAAAATGTTTTTGAAGACAAAAAAAATAGAGATCTAAATACGATAGTTATTTTGATGAGCAATGCCGGTTTATATTATATATATATAGATATGTATGTATGTATGTATGTATGTATGTTAAGAATTGCTATAAGCAACTGTCAATTAATTGCCCCCATCAGAAAAATACTTTTGCAACCATGAATCTAAAACAAAAAGGAGTTAAAAATGAAGAAGACAAAGAGAAAGGACAGGCAGAGAAGTCATCATTGAGAATGTGACTTTCAGTTAAATACATTTCCTTATAAAGTGGCAAGATAATATTTACAACCGAAAAGCACATATTGTCCACAATCTGTCTTCCCTTCGAACACGTGGGGCGTCATTCCTTCCGTGTGATAGTTCATAACACATGATAGATAAGTCTGGAACTGGAGGCTCCTGGGGTTGCAGGCTGTGAATTGGTGCTGGCAGCTGGAGAGAGAGAAGCTGTGTCCTGGAGAGACAGCTCGGCTCTCTCTGCAGACGTGATCCGATCCACTATGCTGGACAAACAATCCAAGCTGGATAAGGAGCTTTTATCTGCAGCACAGGCTAACAGTACAAGGAGAAAAGTGGTTTAAAAGAAAAAAAAGTTAACCCTACACAGACAGGTTTGCTTATGCTGCCCTTTAAACTGTAGGTCAGAACCTTTGACAGCATGGGTCAGGTGATCACAGAGAGCCTGATGTAAAAATTTGCAGCAAAAAATCTAGCAATTCCTGAGGGTGGGGGGTGTGGGGGGCAGAACCCCTGGTGGTATTTCAAGCAAAAGTGAGTGTGCTCGTGTGTGTGTGTGTGTGTGTGTGTGTGTGTACATTTGTGCGTGCATGTGGTCTGTCTGTCCGTCTGTTAGGGTAATCTGGAGCAGAAAGTGTGTTTACTCTGCCAAAGCCTCCCCACAAGAGCCATCATTCGCTTTCCCAGTGCTATTTGGAAGGACAGACACGGCGAAGACAGACCTAACAGATCTTTAAGTGTGTCGGAAGTTATCAGTTCTTACCGTTTGATCCTTCAGGGCAGTAGACGCTGTCAAAGCTGCTGTTCTTTCGGGACCAGACAGGACTGTTGCATTCAGGCTGTAACACAACAACACACAGAAATGTATTGTTAAGCCTTTGGCAAAAGACGACCCAACCTGGGGTGACATAGTACTGGGCCCTAGCTCGGTAAACTGATTGCTCCTAGTTCCCTCCATGGCACTGATTTAAGAAGGGGCTGCTGCCTCCAAATCGCAAGGGCACCAAGGTCAGGCTCTGTGCTGGAAGAGGGAAGCAGAGGGAAGACGATGGAATCCCGCAGCAACGTGCACTGAGTTATAACCATGCAAAATGGATTGCAATAGAAGGAAGCTGTACTAATTGTGGGAGAGAACACTTTCCCAGGGCAAAACCACGTTAAAATCTGGCAACACTGGACCAGATAGCCTTGGAAATGAAGGTACCAACATTTCTTCCCAGCTTGGCCTCAGAACAGGGCTCGGGACCACGGTAGGAATTCTAATTCTTCACTGAGTCATAAACTTGGGGCGGGGGATGTAGCTGTATGTCAGGGTCCAGACTGATATATTTTGGAAATAACAGAGAAATCAATCATTTAAATTAACCTGGGGTGCATGACCACCTTTTACTACCATGTGCATACATATAGACCAGCTAAGAAATCAAAGGGAAATCTTGTACAAGAGTTTTTGCATCTTTCTGTGAACATGTCTCTTAAAGCAACGGTCTCCCACTGTACCTGGTTTAGATGAGGTATGGGGAGGAGGAGGGACTTTTCACATAGACTTAGGGCAGGAGAGAGCAGGTCTTGGAGTTGTGGCTTACCATGCCATCAGAGCAGTTGGAGGTGGGGCTGGTGGGCTCCGAGCAGCTCTGTCCAGGCAGGCTGTAATAGTTCTCCACCTGCTCCCTCAGCAGCTCCTGCAGACTCTCGATGTAGCGGATGGCGTTCCTGAGGATCTCCACTTTGGGGAGCCTCTGGTTGGGGTTGGTGGTGGTGCACCTCTTAAGCGTCTCGAAAGCTTGATTGACCTTCTTCAGGCGTCTGCGCTCACGCATGGTGGCAGCCTTGCGTCGGTCCATTGTGGTGGACTTCCTCTTGCAGGCTTTGCAAGCCCACATGAGGCAATGACCAGCCTGGTGGTGGCCAGTAGGTGCTCGCACGTGCTCGTCATCATCCGAGCCCTGCAGCTCAGCTTTGTGTCCTCCGAAGGCAGCCACTCTTGGCTCAAAGTGGTCCCCAAACTCACCCTCAGGGGACGGGATGCAGGAGCTCTCGTAGAAGTACTCAGAAGGTGAGAACTGGCAGCCATCCATCATGTCCATGCTTCAGAGAGGCAGGTGGGACACCTGGATTCAGCAGAGAGGGAGAAACGGGGACTCCCTGGCTGCTGCAGGCCAGCAAATCCCAGGCGGAGCTGGGGGTTTGGGATTGCTTCTTTGTAATTAACAAGGACAGATGCCTGTTGGCCAGGGTGGGTTGGTGACTGAGGTTGGGGCTCTTTATATGTTCTTGGGGGATGGGAAGGGAGGCTGGTCCCTGTAGCTGGGCATTATTAGCATATCCCACCACAACCCCCACAGGGGTTGTCTGGACAAACCTCTGCCTTTCTTCTAGAGACTATTTGCTGTTTACTGGCACCCTTGACACGAATGATTTTTAGTATAACCCAACCTACTCAGTGGCCTTCTGGATATTCCAAATCTAGGGATCGTGTGTGTGTGTGTGTGTGTGTGTGTGTTGAAATTGATTGCACGTTAACACAATCAGCAGCGGCATCGTAATAAGGCACAGTGGCTGAAGGAGATGCTGCTTTATTCTGAGGGGTGGGGAGTGGGTTGGGGTGAGAGCTTGTATCTCATTTTCTTTACCTGAAGAGATCTTGTCAGTTTGCACCCCTGTAATAGTTGCTTAATTTTTTTTTTTTTTAAAAGCGACATACTCATTTATGGAGAGAACCTAGAGTGTCCTGTTTCCAAATCTGTTTGATAAAGACTCGCGGAGCAAAGCCAGGGTCATTTCACGGGTTTGGGGTCTGACATTCTCCAGAGCTTCCTTTTCGGACACGGCTCCGTCAGACGTTGTATTTTTAATTCTGCTTTTTTAAAAAAGGAAATGTCTTCAGGTGGAGCAGGTGAGCCTCCAGCATCCTGCCCTTCCTAGCTTCCTTCCTTCCTCACACATCTACCTGTTGCCTCTCTGGGCTAGGCTAGTGCCTGCACTGGGCGATTCCTGTTTCTGTGGACCAGCAAAGCAGAAGTCTAGCTTCTCACAGAAAACTCCCTTGCCAGTGTGGAGTGGGGTTTCCTTTCTCCGGAGCTTTCTGCTCCGCCCTATCAGTTCTACAGACTAAACAGCCAGCCAGGCTTTAGGGTCGCTAATTTTCTGCTTTCAGGCCAGCTAACACCGTTACAGATGCGTCCCAGCTGCTGGCACAGAGATCCTGGGCTAGTGTAAAATTTCCAGCTCCTCTAACAGAGTGACTTCACACACTCTGGTGACAAAATCCTTTCAGAAATGCAATTTGCAGGTCCTTTTGAAACTTTGGTGGGAAACGACCTTCAAAAAAAAAAAAAAAAAATGAGCTTGTTTCCCTGCTTTTACAATCTTGCCTGCACTGTTAAGCCATCTTCAGGTCACTTATAAGAGAGATGCTGTTCATATTCAAGAAACACTGTTACTTAAGGTCGACACAAGTTCTCTGGGGCCTTGGACCTCAATTTGTAGCCCCATTGTAAAAACGGACTGTTCACAGTTCAGTGTCATCCAAATAAGTAAGTACTGTGGCTCCAAAGAGATGTTCTCTCTCTCTCTCTCTCTCTCTCTCTCTCTCTCTCTCTCTCTCTCTCACACACACTCTCTCTCTCTCTCTCTCACACACACACACACACTCTCTCTCTCACACACTCTCTCTCTCTCTCTCTCTCTCTCTCTCTCTCTCTCTCTCAGGCACTTTCTATTTCAATGATGGTGATGGTGATGATGAGACTCAGTGTAATTTTTCTAAAGCAACCATAATTGTCTGATCTTGTATCTATAGGAGCCACAGAAATTGTAACTGTCTGTAAAAGCAAGCGTTCCTAGGAGGGACCTGACCTGAAAGCCAGTATCAGTCACTACACTTGCTAGCTGTGTCTGTCTCTGTTCCCTCTGCCCTGGACTGTCATCTTGAAGACAGATTTCTTCTGAAAACCCAGGCCCAGTCTCACACCTAGGGGCTAGCTACTTAATCATCTAGCCAATGGGAAATCCAACTGTACCTTGCTGGGGCCTAGTTACCAATGCATGCCTTTGAAATGAATAGTCTTAGGACAATAGCAGATAAAAAGTCACACTCCTGAAGACAAGGTCTGCCTCATTTATGTGGACACATATGAACGCACTCATAGCACACTCTGTGACATCATTGTGGACCTTAAATTCCCAGCGAGATCAGTAGAGAGGCTCAGGTCACTAACCACACAACACAGAACATTGGCTTTCCTCCGCCCCCATCCCCTTCCTCCTGTCCCTTCTTCTCCTCTCCTCCCTTCTTCTTACCCCTCTTCTCTCCTCCATCCCCCCTTCCTCCTTTCCTCCCCCGCCTCATATTTAAGGTCACTAAAACAGCTTGATGGTTTGGATGCAAATTTGTCCTCTGTATTTGAAGTGGGAGACAGGGAGTCTGCCCTGCCTGCCCTCTGACTACTTTCCGGGCAGCCCTCTCTGTGTTCCGTGCGTGTATCTGACAGCTGCTGACTTGAATCTACCAGGCAGGGCTGGTTTACCATTCTTCGCCCTTTTCACATAGTCACATATTCTGTTGTTTTATTTCATTTATTTATTTATTTATTTATTTATTTATTTATTTATTTATTTATTTTATAAAAAGGTAAAGGTTAACTCTAGGGCTGGATAATTTCCCCTTTTATCCACACGGGATTGGAAGGCGTCTCCTTGTCCTCGGAAATGGCACCAAGTGCGGGCAGGTGATCCTGTTTGCTTCATACAGTCATTCAGGCTCAGTCTTCCGGGGCTTCCTCAGCTCAGCAAGCACAAACCCACACAAACTGGAGTCTTTCTCGGGCTCCTGTGCTGGGAGGACGCTGTCACTCAGGGGCCCCTGTCAGTAACATAAGTTCTCAGAGGTTAGGGCTGTCTTTGGTAAGGTGATCTCCAAACAAAATCTACCAGAGTGCAGCGGGCAGAGTGGAACTAAGAACTGGGGAAAAACACAGGCGGCCGGCTGCCTAATGAGTCCTGCCGAGGGAAGACAGGGTCCGGCTTGAGGGCCCAAGGGACTCAAGCGCTGAAACTAGAATCTCCAAGCACAAGAATAAAAAATGAGCCCAAAACTTTCAAGCCAGAGCTGCAGCTAAAAAAGAGGGAGATCAAAAACCTGAGGTAGGAAGGAGGAGGAGGAAGAGGAGGAGGAGGAGAAGAAAGCCCACCCCTGAGAGATGAGAAAGGCTCCTTGCCCACACAGAAGATCTGACTGTTCTTTTCCATATCAAATAATGTGGGGAAGTGTGGGATTTGGGTGAATCTTACACCAAAAGACAAAACAAAACAAAGTCAGAGAAATTTAACTGAGACCTATAGGAAATGTATAATTGGTTTATATAGAGCACAGAAACACGAAGACATACCTATACATGTAATATACATGTATGCGCGCGCGCATGCGCGCGCGCGCACACACACACACACACACACACACAGTGCCTTTTTCTTCACTTCTGCCCCTACGTGCAGAACTCTGCTCTTGCTTGCTGTAGATGACTTCCCAAATGTGCTAAACCATTTTAACAATTTTAAGTAGTTATCAGCTCTGGGAGCTGGGCACACCTATGTAAACACATCAGTACCTGCCAGAGTTGCAAGAAGAATGTGTGGACAAGACAGCTGAGGAAGACATTGGCCTCTGCTTGAATTCGAAGACTTCCAGGAGAGATCAAAGGACTATATACGGGCATTTAGCAGCCTTGAGAGGGAGAGTAGCCTAACCCTCACCACTAAGTTTGTTGCCCCGCACATGGCAGGGACATTTCACCCCACAGAATGACTAAGAACTAAGCTTGCAAAACACTTTATTTTTGCAGACATAATCTTCTAGCACCAAAGATCGTTTTGGAAAGAGTTGATTAGGTTTTGGAACTGAATGGAAAATTCTGCAAAAGGAAATGCAATGCTATTTCTTGTTTACTAATGATCAGACGATGAGATATACATTATTTAAAATCAAGCACTTTGTAACTAATATGTGGGGTTACCAAAGCAAGGGTCTCTACATTAAGAAATGGGACATTTCCAATGGGAAACTATGAATGGTAAAGAAATGTCCTTATAATTTTGAAAGTGACTTTCAGTGTCCTTATTTTCCTGCCTTCTTAATAGTTGTTAAGAGCCCCAAATTTCTTTCCTCCCCACAAAAAAAAAAAAAAAAACTTATGAAAGAGTTGGACAGAAAATTAATATCATTTGACATAAGCGAATTTCTCTAATGTTGAGACTTTGAATTCCATGATCCTGGTAGGATGATGTAAGCTAGCTTGAAAGAGCTTATTGCCATTTGATATCTATGAATTATTTCAGTAATAGCATAACAGAAAACCACTCATTATTTAATATTTGACATTATATGAATCTCTGGGAAGAGATTTAGGTACAATCCCAAAGTTCTTATCTTCACCAAGTTATTATGTCTTAATTTTCTGCTTCCATAGCCTTGTTTATTTTGGGTTTGGACTCGGTTAAAGATTATCATCATTAATATCAAACAAAAACAGTTTAATCACAAATGCACCAAGGATTTCATTGGAGAGCCTAACATGTCATCTACAGCACTGAAGGTCACATGAACCCTTTTGGAAAATATTTTCTCTATTTAAAGAACAGGCTTCTATAGGCAACCTCACTCTAAACAGTTTCTCAAGTTACCAGCTCAGAGAGAAAGAAAGAGAGAGAGGATTTGGTTTGCAAAGACTGAATAAAATCCACCAACGACAAAAGACTGTGAGTTTGATAAAAGCATTCTGCTGTAGAATAGTTCATAATACAAATCTTATCAGAAATGCGTAATTCTAAGGTAAATATATTCTCCTAATCAGTGATGATATGCCAATTGCACAAATAATTTAGTTTTTGAAGGTTTTTGTATAAAAGTACAGTATAGAGCAAATCCTTTCTTTGTCAAAAATATTCATAGATATATGTATGATTAGTAAGGATAGAGACCACTCAGAGGCAGTCACACTTACTTTGGTCAGGAAGTTTGACTAGTAAATGCTTTGGCATTTATCTTTGAAAGTTATGCTATAATTTGGAGTTTGCTAGCTAGCTGCTCTTTCAGATAGAAGGTTACAGAAACAATTGTCAAAGAGATGCAAATAATTGTACAGACCATAGATGTTCTTACTTGTTTTTCAAGGCTTTATTCTGGGAACGAAGTAGTTCAAGGCATAATTTTTCAGCCATTAATATTTCCCTGCCTTTGAGTCCTCACTTTATACTCAACAGATGAGAAAAGTTTCTATTCCTGAAATAGCAGTAAAGTAATAAAAGCAGTTCTCACTGGTTGTAGTTGGATTACATTAAAACAATAACTAAGGATGGCTGATCTTGCTCAAGGTTACTCTCCCCAGCCAAAGTCAGCAAAGGTAAGACACTAGACTAGGCTTTGGGTGACAGACCTCTTGATGGCCATTGAGATGTACTAATACAAAATAAAAAGAACAGGCTTCTATAGGCGTGTATGTGTCTTCTTGATTCAACACTTAGCGTGTGCTGTCTTTGTGAATTTTCACAAGCCCATGGGGCAGGGAATATCCTCCCTGGTATTGTCTTCCAAACAGGGATGGGGACTCCAAAGGAGCGGCATTGGCTCAGGTTGTACAGGAATAGCCTGGATTTAGTTTACAGAGAGTCCAAAGAGTCCTCACAGGGATTAGGTAGTTCATTATGCAGCATGGCCACCTGCTTCTCTCAGACCTTTAAAAGGAATTTTATGCCAACATCAGCTGCCTCAGCCGAATTTTCTGAATTTTGAACTATTTTAGAAGAGCCTCCACTTCATTTCATATGATCAGAAAATCAGTTACAGAAAAGTATACGAGACCCCAAATCTAAAATGCTCTAAAATCCTTTTTTTTTTTTTTTTTTTTTTTTTTCTGTTGACAATTATACTCAAAAACTTTCAGGTTTTAGTTGGATTTCTGGTTTAGAAAAACTTAACATTATGCAAATATCACAAAGCCCAGAAAATCTTGAAAATGGAAGTATTTTCAGTCCCAAACCTTTTTGGATAAGGGATTCTCAACATATACTAGCACCAGGAAGGATTATAAAAATCGAGCTGCCCATCTGCAGGGTGCGTTCCTTGTCTCTGGCATTCTTTGGAACATCTTCACAGGAATTGGGCTGGGAAATACTTGATTCAGTTTGATTTTTGCTTCTGAGCTATGGAGTGGCTATGGGGTTAAGGGAATGGTAGAAGATAAGAGGTGTGGTCAGTGGCAGAGGGACCATTTTACGGAATGCTAGACAGGCACGGCTTAGCAGAAATTGCATGCTTTTCTCTTTATTTCCCACTGTGTTTCTTGGTGGTCGTTTTTTCCTGAGATTACAGGATAAACAGACACTGCTGGCACACGTTGTAAAATCTTCACGGAGTGGAGCTCCTGGGGCTTCTGGGTCTCTGGGGCTTTGCTGTTTGGTTCAGCTAAGAGGTTTCATGTGTGTTGTTGTTATCTTTTGCTCCCAACAGGTTAACCCTTCCATCTCTTGGAGCAATCTCCACCCTCCTTCAAATACACCCACCCCTCTTCAAGAGACAGATTGCTCCTTTCTTTTATCTTTCTGTTTGGAAAATAAACTCAAACCAAAGAGCACTTGAAGATATTCCAGCCTGCTGGGGGCTGGTCTAGTTCAAGAAAACTGGCTATCAGGCCTTAGGCCCTGGGAACTTCAGATTTACACTTGGAAACAGTGTAGAATGCCAAGACATGGGGAAAAGAAAAAACAATTTGGGCTAAATTAATTGAACATCTTCTAGGGAAATGAAAGAAGGAATTTTAGTATATTTGAAATTAAAATTCAGAGTAAGTAAATTCCACCCATATTGCCAACTATAGAATAATAAGAAGAGAAAAAAAAAAAAAGAAAGAAAAAGAAAGAAAGAAAGAAAACAAAAAAGGAAAAAAGAAAGAGAGGGTAGGCTACTTTCTGGATACTTCCTTCTATTAACAGCAACTACCAGATCTATGTGGAATATTAACATGCCCAGTTTAATTGAATCTACAGCCCTAAAATTCATTTCTCCTCTTTAAATTAGGCTGAGAAAAGAGGCCCAAATAAATGGGTGTATGTGGTATCTAAATTAAAATGTCTATTCTCTAGTTTCATATACATGCCCTCATGGTTTTTCTCCAGTTAAATCAAATTAAGGCCATCTTGTACATATAGAAACTTATTAATATTTTAATATTACAATACCAGGATCTTCACACATTTTTATATACAATGCATAATTCCACATTTAAAATATATTCTTTAAGTTTACATAAAAATGAAAACACTAAGACTATTTACAAAAGTACATTAAACACCATTCGGATTCACCCTTCACGCTTGGATTTAGACAGGAATGAAATTCGTTCGCAACTGACACAAAAGGGTCAACGTGACCATAATAAAAGTTAATACGTTATAAAAAGCAACCAAACTAAAACCAAAATTAGCGTTCCAGAACTAAGCCACTAGTGGTTCCAAATAACAATCATATAATAGTAATCATATTTAAAGCCCAAGGGCAAAGGACTTTGACTTGAGGCGCCTCTTGCCTTTCATAAACTCTGGTGTCTGTGCGCCCTAACCTAAACGATTAGGCCATAAGGGGTCTTCCTGTTGAGTGAAGAATGTCCCAAATACTTGTTGAGTTACTTCTCCACAACCTCCTCCACGCTGGGGAGTTTGCGCTCCTCTGAGGAAATACTGTCCACGATGGAAGAGAGGCACTGAAGACTGCTGGTGGCTGAAGCGTCGTCCACGCTTGCGCTTGCTCCTCCTAAGCACAGGGAAACAAACACACACAGTGCATATAGCAGCCGCCAGCAGCTGTGTCCCAGGAGCAAAAGGCCACCAAAGCTATGCAGGGGGCAGAGAGAGAGAGAGAGAGAGAGAGAGAGAGAGAGAGAGAGAGAGAGAGAGAGAGAGAGAGAGAGAGAGAACATAGGGAGGAATGGAGGGGGAGGGAGGAAGTAAAGGAGGGAGGAAGTAAAAGAGGGAGGGAGGGAGGAAGAAAGGAAGGAAGGAAGGAAGGAAGGAAGGAAGGAAGGAAGGAAGGAAAAAAAAGCACTAGACTTTGACTAGACTGTTGAGCACCTTGTGTTCTGCTAGAGCATCCCAGTGCTGAGCCAAGCCGGATGCTAAGTCCAGTGCCCTTTACTTTACATTACCTTCCTTAGCAGTTATCACGAGACCCCTGGAATGATCCGAAACACTTGGCCATTGGGGGCTGCAGGTGCGCAGGAAATCCGCACCCTCAAGCTGGAAGGAAAACCAAAGCAACAGATTAGGAAAGAAACAAATTCCGGGACAGGGGAGGGGGAGTCTTGGGGGTGTCTCCCCTGCTTCCTTAAGCCCAGCCGCATTTCCTGCTTAGGGCAGGGGCTCGGTCTTCTTGGGTCATTAGAGAGGGAGTTGTGGGGCGGGACGGGGCTGGGGGGGGCACCAAGGAGGTGGAGGTTATGGCTTCAGGAAGGTTTTTAATCAGTCTTTGCACTTCCCTGCCCTGGCAGCATCTGGGCTTACAATTTCTTGCTTGGGTCTGTAGCTGTAGGGGTCCACGCCCAGCTCCTGCATCTTCTCTTGCTGATCCAGCCGGTGCAGCAAGTCTTGCAGACGCTCAATGTAGCTGATGGCACTCCGCAGAATCTCCACCTTGGGCAGCCTCTGGTTGGGGTTGGCCACAGTCCGACGCTTCAGGGCCTCAAAGGCCTCGTTGATTTTCTTCAGCCTCCTCCTTTCGCGCAGGGTAGCAGCTTTCCGCCGATCTGTGGGGGCAGATTTTCTCTTGCAAGTCTTGCAAGCCCAGATCAGACACTGGCCAGGGCAGTGGGGAGGCTGCAGGCCGGGAGGTGCCAGTACATGTTCCTCTCCACTGCTGTCGCTCCCGGCTTCCTGGGGCATTGGGTCCTGGCAAGGGGACAGGGTACCATCACTCCCTGGATACAAAGGAGAGCCCTCTGCCACTTCTAATGGCTGCAGAGTTACATTTTCTCCATCTAAGTAGAAGAAATAGGAGCCAGTTTCAAAAAGGTCCATCATCATGTTCTCCTCCTTGGCCCTCTGACTGATCTGTACTGGGTGACCGGCTCAAAAACCCGGAGGAGCCACCCAGATGGCATTTAATTAGTGCGGTGACATAAGTCGACCCAGCTTTATATATAGTAGCTCCTGAAACTCAATCCAACTTTTAGCTGTCATGGAGCATCAGTCTCCCGAAGCGATTACAGCTAGCCCTCACTAGTACATCTAGTTTGAGAGAAAACGGAGACATATCACCTCTCAGAGTGATGTGACAGTCCATATGACAAACAGGGCAAAACAAAATACGCAGAGAGAGTCGCATCACCGAAAGCCTTCAGGGCTTCCATTTTGGACAGTTTAGACACTAACCTGCTAACCAGGCAAACTTCAAAACAACTGGGGATTAACACTGCCCGGTTCCCCTCCCTCCAGGGTTCATCTGAATTCTAAGTATAGACTCATGATGAGAGATTTCATAGGCAATAGCCATTGCTCCAAAATAGCCTCATTAATATTTCCAGTGTGGTTCGGCTCTTTCTCTCTGTTCTGCCTGTCAAAAAAAGATGCTATCCCCATGATTAAAACCATTACCAGTCCTTCAAAGTTCACACGTGACTTTCAGGCCTCAGCCTCAATACAAGCAGGTAAATAATCTCTTTCCTCTCTTTTACTAAATCTGTAAGATGAGGTGGGAGTGGGGGGGGTAGGCACGGTGGCTGAAGGGTGCTCACGTCCCACGCTACCTGTCTGAAATAACTCGGGATTCTTTCACCATGACCTTCCTTGGTTACCTGTTATTTTGCAGAGTGGTAACTAAAATCTGAACTGTGCTTCCTTTCCCAGTTGGAGCGATAGCATGTAAAGCTAGGAGTGAGCTACAAGAAAGATAAAATACATGTTACACCCCACTTAAAACAGTTGTTGTTAAAGAAACAAGCCACACAACGGATGCTTGATATTTCAAGTGTAGTTCTGGCCTCGTCCCAAGTGCTTTTGTTCTGCACAAACTTTTACTCACATTCTCACCGTCCACTCACTCCCCCAAAGTTGTTTGCTAGGATTCAGATGACAAAGAAGCAGCCAAGGCACACATAATGAGGCAGATGTCTTTTATTCCACTGTGTCCATAGTCCAACATATACACCTGTGCAAAGATGAAGTGTAGAGCTGTGGTTCTGAGTGCAAAGATGGAGTGTAGAAAGCTCCCAGATTTCAAAGAACTCTCTTTCAGTCCTAGCTGGGTCGGGCTCTATTTATGTGCCCATGGATGAGTGCTTATTTGAACTACTTCATGATGAGAGTGGTTGCTTTATCCAGTTTAGGGTTCAATAAAATATTACCATACACATGACTTTTGCAGCATGCAGCCATATAGTGAACATTGGTGACCACATATAGCATAAAATTCTGTTGGGTCTAAGCTGGCATTTTCTCTGCTCTTTTTTTTTTTAAACTATTCTCTTCTTTGAATTTCTACCCTTCCTGAAAATTCGGGAAGTAATACTTCCACTAGCAGCAAATAGCTTTTGGAATAAAGGCCACACTTTATAGTCCAGTGCCTGAAAAACTGGATGGAATGTATAAGGTCATATTCTATCTCAAGCACTGATGATTGCAGGCTATATTTCTGAGTGTCCCTTTTCAAAAACCAAACTAAATTGAAATTTAAAAACCTGATAAGAAAAAATAACCATCATATAATTTAGGAACTCATTAAAGATTTAACCCAAGATGTTTTGTTTATTCTGGAAGGTAGCCCTTCCAAACCTCCACTGAGACCTGAATTTTGAATGTCAAGTCTGAGCAATTTTGTCTAATTTTGTGTATTGTTGTTTTGTAGCTTATCAAGCCAGAGAACCATCATTAGACTCTAGGGTGGTAGAAAATATTAGGAAGAGGAGGAGAATCCTATACTTAAATTGTGTTATTTCCTTCAATCTCCACGAGCTGTCTTGATCATCATTAATGAATTTCAAAGCTTGGTCTACAGAAGTGCTCATTATGGTAAAACGATTCCTAGAATCCACTAACTTCAAGATGTATGAAGTAAATGTTACACATCACAAACTTGCTAAAGAATGTGGAAGCGCTGACTTAACCTTTTTTATTTCACAGCCAGCACAGAAATGTAAGAGAAGACGATAGATTATATAAACAGAGAAGGTTCAGAGGACTAGCGAATGGATGCTAATGCAAGACATCCTTTTTCCTACTGAATTATTCCTTACCAAATTGCGTATCCCTATTCTCACCATATTGCAGAGCTCCCACAGTATAGTAAAATAATGTCAGTATGGAATGAACAGATTAAGCATGTACAGACTGGGCATGTACAGATTTGTACTCCTACCTCCTACTTTATTAACTTTTTATTTATTTATTTCCCTTTGTTGTGGTTTTGGAAGTTGTAGCAGGAATGGGGATGTAAGAATAAGAAATTCTAGCTTGGTCAATGGCTGTCCTTTTAGATTACCTCAATGGGAAAATATGCTCTGACCCCAAACAACTACCTAGTGTACTCTTGGAACTCAAATTGTTTACAAAATGTGAGAGGCTTATAATTTCAATTATGTTATTTCTCCACAGCACATGAGGGAGACACACATGTTAACAACTAGTTAAAGAGGTTGGTGTAAATGCAAACCATCCCACTTTAAATAGTTAAACTTTATCTTTTAAAAATTTGGAGAACATAAGTTGCAACAGGGATTGCATTATCAGTAGCAACCCACTCAAAAAGAAAAGCTCTGAATTCATTCATCATTAAATCTTACACTGGGTAAATGATAGAACATTTTCCAACAGTTTCTCCTGTCATTTGTAATTCATGATTACTCTCAAATGCATTTTTTCTTGTCATCTTTCCCCAAAACCTTGGATATGTCTAATTATTATCCAAGGAAAGTAGAAGGAAGAAAAGACCATGCATAACTCAGCAGCAGAAGAAAATGATTGTGTATAACTTATTTAGCAGCAGATTTTAAGTATGTGTCTTTAAGGAAGTGAAATAGCATCTTTGGAGAAAGATGTTGTTGTGACTTGTTTGTTTGTTTGTTTGTTTAAGAGATCAAGCGACATGACTGATAAATACCTTACAATTTTGATGTTAGCTTTTGACATGAATTAATTCCATACACACAGCCCACACATACACATTGGGTTAATGATATGCACTGTTCACCCAGTAGCCATCACTTTTCCTTCTTGATTCTTGAATCCTTAATTGAAGTAATCATGCTAATCATACCCTAACAGCCTGTAAAACCTAATACAGAACATGTTTAAAATAAATTTTAAAGAAAGCAAAATGAAAATATTGTAAGTAGCAACTCTGCTAACAGTGTTTCATGTGTTGATGCCCTTGTTAAAATTTCAGTTGACTGGGGGCAATGGGAGTGGTGAGACTCACAGAAATGAATAGCTCAGGAGCCTAGGAAGCATGACTTAGCCACAGAGCTTTTAAGATGTTAAGCTCATATTTCCTTGAAAAGAAGTGGACGTTTTTGGAAAACTGTGTTTTGGGGTTGGTGACGAAGGTAAGAGGAAGTTCAGGGAAGAGATTAACACAGGGAAGCGGCTGAGAGTTTGGTAAAGAAATTTCTGTGGGCTATCTATCACTATGGTTTGGGACTAACTAGATCATTACATAACTAGAATCAAAGAAACCATTGCCTGAGAAGGTAGAGCTCAAGGCCAGTGATGAAAGAAACTAAAGGAAAGTTGGGTGGAATAAAGTCGAAAAGGAACAGTACGCAAGACAAGTCTGCAGAAACTTGGTTGAGGGGCCACATGGAAGTGAGGGGAGGAGCGGCCTGCCCGTGAAAGGCAAAACTCAAAAGACGCCATGCCTCGAATTTGTGCACACCAAGAAACATGAACCCTGGGCACCTGTAACTTACTTAAGCAGCCAGCAATGTGTGCTTAGAGATTCCCAAACACGATGGTAAAAATAGCTTTGCACTTAGACTGAGAGAACATTTGAGTCACTTCTGGGGACATGGGGGAGGGACCCAAACCAAGTAGAGGAAAAAGAAAGATATGAAAGGCCAATACTCTACACTCCCAAAAGGTACACACGGGAATGCTGTAGGACCTAGACAGAAGCCAAGTGGGTTGTGAAGTCTTTTGTGAATCCCAAAAGAAGGGAAAGCTTGGAGCTGTTCTCTAGATCTTCCAAGGAACACTTCATTCTTCTGAGAGTAGGAACACGGGCTCCTAAGAGCCAGTGTTCCGTTTATGCACTAACCGCCAGGCTACTGTTCATCTTGTCTTTTGGAGGCATGATTTTCAGGAAGAAGAGAGTTGCTTCTGTTGGAGAAACACTCATTCTCTTTCATCTGAATTTAAGGTTAAAAAAAATCTGTGAACCTTCAGAATTTGTCCATGTTAAGTGTTCCTTTTGTATGAGCAACTGATCAACGTGGGTTTGCTTGACACTGAGTAGATGCCTGGGAACCCTGATAGAAAGCTCTATAACCGGCTCAATGTGGGAGCCATCAGAACAAGCTGGTTACTATATGGCCAGAAAAACACTATGGATATTTCCATGTGTCTATTCATTTAGGAGAATAATGCACAGTGTGCACGATTCACACACACACAAAAATTTCCTTTCAGAATCACTGTGGATTACAGATGTGAAGTTTGGTGTTAAATGGACAAGTTCTAGGCAAGATCATTTCTCTAAGTATCAGTTAACTGGGTCATAAAATGAAAATATCACTTCGTTGTTTCAAAGATTAAAAGAATTTCATTGAAACAATTATACAGTGTCTGACACATAGTAAGTTCATTATTAGTAGTATTGCATTAAAAACTCAAATTGGAAAGTAAAAAATAACTATGGTTTGTTTACTGTTATGTGCAAATTTTATACTACTCAAATTTTGTTTAACTATATTGCTTCCTTAAAATATTACATAAATGCTTTTTCACAAATGCTGCTTACAGTTATATTTAAAATGGGTGAGATATATAGGGTTTCTAGGCTGCTTACATATTTTTAAAACTTAGGTGAATTATGATATTTACAGTACCCAAATTACGGAGGTGCCTGGTGTTACTGTCTTGCTAAGCTAAACAGATGTCTGTGGTGTAGAGTGGTTATCCAAGTATTTTG